TTAAAATGCAAACATGAATTTATAAAAAAGGAGTTAAATAAATAACTGATTAATTCGTACAAATGGTTGATACTGGACCCCAAAACAAAGCAAAATAGGGCAAATGATAGGAACTACCTGGGTGGCCGGGCGTGGGGAGAGGAATAAGCACATGGCGAGGAGAAAATGGAGTTTCAAAGAAAGAATTTCTCCTTTGCTTCCTCCTTTTTCTCTAAGGTCGAACAGAAAGAAGCCTATGCTATAAGATCCAATTTCAGAGAATGTCATAGTCTCCTTGCTTTCTGACCCAGGCTAATTTTCAAGAGCAGAACACCCACTCCTCCCTCAAAGATCAGATCAAGCTGCCAAGGCAAACCCGGGGATCTTGAGGGATTTTGTGGAACTAAAATAAGTCTTCCTTTTTACATCGAGCGCTTTTTGCATGTGTGAATGTAAAACATGCCTTCCCTGTAGAACATTTAGATACCACAACAAAGAGTAAAGCTTCCGGGTGGGGTGGTGGTGCGGGGGTGACCGTCTTCAATTCTGCCATCTTTAATGTCACAGTGCATTTTTTTTTTCCTAAGATGAAAGGGAGTTTTAGGGACTGTGTCTGCCGCAGTTGAAACTCAGGACGTCACAAAGCATGAACAGAACCCGGGTTTGTCACGCTGCATGGGCAGAACTTGGGATTGAACTTCTGGGGGAAGGAATAAAACCACGCTGTATTCTGTGAGCTGTGTGTGCGCACATCAGGGTTGGGGCCTGTTGTGTTTGGCCTCCACTTTTTCCTTCTGTGCTCCTAGGATATAGGTTACTAGAAGAATCCATGGGCCACAACTGAGCTTTGAATTAGATGAATGCTGTGGGCCATGGAGACCTGAGAAACTCGGGTGTGTGTGTGTGTGTGTGTGTGTGTGTGTGTGTGTGTGTACCAGCACAGAGATTAAGTAACCAAACTGGGAACGAACGGGGTGGGTTTAGCAAAACACTCCCTTTGCCGTCTTTATGACTTGCAAATGAAGCCTTTCTTCACAAAGTGAGGCTGTGGGCGAAACATCCAGAAGACTGAAGGGTGGTTTTTGCACAGGGCCTGCTCAGCCTCGGTGTGGTTGGCTCTGCTGCTGCGGCGGAGTGCGGGCTGCTGGCGAGGCCTCATCCTCCCGGCTGTTCAGAAAGGGACTGGCGACGACGAGATCATAAATATCATTTGCTCACATGGAGTCCCCGGGAGCTGCGCTGACCACAGGAGTCGCGGTCCCCAGGACGCTGGGAGCGCTCACAAAGCAGGCATTTATGAACTGGTTGGCTTTGCATTAATTAATTCCCCAGCCATTCACCAACAGTAACAATCCCTTCAATTAGAGTCCAGGCCCTGGAAAGCCCTGGTGTTTATTGGAAGTGACATCTGCATAGCAAAGTGTGACTGTGTTAATATGGAAAAGCACAAAGGGACCCAAAGTCCCTCTCTTGCCCAGCGCCTTCCTCCCCGCGTAGCTTTGGAGGAAGAGAGAGGACTCCGGCTCTTAGGAGGGTTTAATTTGTGATCTCTCCTCTTTGGTGGTTAGCTTGTCACTGAAATGTTCTCCTGGGCTTCTCTGGGGAGGGGCGAGCTCTGATGTGCGGGGTTGTCACGAGTCTGTGGAGCACTGAAGGGATCTCAGACAACTGCGGGCCCTGACAGGCAGCGGACGGAGGCTGAGCAGCGCAGGATGGAACACAGATGCACGGGGACCCCACTGGGGAGGCCTGGCACAGCCCGGAAAATTCTCTCATCAAAGACAGCAGAACTTGGAGGCCGACTGAGAGCGGGGCTCCGTCAGTCTTAGAGCTAAGGAAGCCGAAGGGCTGGGAAGTGTAGGAAGCAGGGCTGACGGGCGGATCCCGGGGCAGGGCGAAGCTCTGTCCTTCAAACCTCTGTTTCTTTAACTTGCAGTTTTAGGAAGCTGACTTTCAAAATCTCTCACCCTTTCCTGGGTGGACACCACACGAGATGATACCAAGATGATTAAGAGAGAGCTTCCCCTTAACCAGGAGCAAAGAGGATTAAACATAAGCACATTCACAAATAACTGTGAGGCGGGGTTAAGCCCGGCCAGCGCTGAAAGAGACGCAGAAATCAGGGCACGGGGACTCAAGCAAGGAGCAGCCTGTCATAGCCAACTGGCCCAGCTCCCGGGGCATTTACGACAAGTCCTGAGAGATGGGCAGGGTCTCGACCTGCAAAGGGGGCGTGTCCTCCTCCAAGGAGACAGGGAGCCATCTGAGGGCATGTGCTCCGAGAAGAGTTGAGGGGCACACCTGGGGGTACAGCAGGCGGGGCCAGTCATCAAGGGCTCTTGTCAGCTAGGGGACGGGGGACCTGCCCATGTCATTCTGGTAGACAATGGAACCAACAGGGTGGCACTTTCCAGGGAGGGACCAGGGCCAGGACCAGGACAAGGCAAGTCAGGGACAAGAATACACAATGTTTTGAAGAGACGCCCTCGGTGCCAGCCTGCCCTGGTGGGTCCCTGCTATGGTTTGGATGTGGTTTGAGTGTGTCCCCAAAGGTCCACGTGCGGCAGGCTTGGTCCTCAGTGTGGAGCTGTTGAGGTGGTGGAATCGTGAAGAGGTGGGGCCTGGTGAGACGTCAATAGGTCACCAGGGACCCACTCCTGGAAGAGATTGAGGTAATTGTCTCAGGACTGCAGTCAGTTCCCTCAAGAGTGGGACCCACTCCTGGAAGAGATTGAGGTAATTGTCTCAGGATTGCAGTCAGTTCCCTCAAGAGTGGGTTTTTATAAAAGATGAACTTGGGCCCCAAGTCCCTCTTGCTTCTTGTGTTGCCACCTGATGGTTCTTTCTGCCCCACATGTACTTCCACCATGATGCCATCTGCCATGTGGTGATATAAACCAGGAGGCCTTCCCCAGCGGCTGCTAGATGTTGGACTTTCAGCCTCCAAAACCAGGAGATAAATAAAGCACTTTTCTTTACACATCTCCCAGCCTCAGGCGTTTTGTTATAGCAACACAACGGACTCAAACAGAATCTGATGTGTGCTTTCTGCTATTCCAGCTCAGCCTGGGGTGGGATGAGCAGCGGACAGCAGTTTTATGATGAGAGCTTTTGTTCAAAAGACTCAGTGTAGGATGGATGGGGAAAGTGGGGGCGGGTGAGACAGTGCACACAGAGTTGATAATGCAGAGAAGTCACAGCACGTGGGGGACAAGGAGGGACAGACTCAGGGCTTCTTTGAGAGTCAAAACAGAAGCAAGCAGCAAAGAGGAGCGGTGGTGATGGCCGCTCCCACCCCCACAATTGCTAGCTGTGGGCCAGGAATGGTCTCAAACTTTGGATGCTTATTAATTCATTTAATGATGCTGGACGGAGGCCCTCACTGAGACCCAGAGAGCTAAGTTCAAGTGTGGCTCTGGGAGGCCCTTGGGTCTCAGCTCTTCCAACTGTAACATGACCAAGTTGTACTAGACAATTGCAAGGTCCGTGACGACTTAGGGCCCCATGTGGCTCGTACCTTTGCTAATATCAGCTGAACCCCAGCCCTGGGGACCCCACTGGGCTTATCCAAGAGTTCTCGGGCCAGGAGTCACAGGAGGCAAATCCCTCTGTATAGGCTTATCTCCCGCGGGTTCCTTGTGAGTGGCTTCTAGCATTTCTAAGGTTTCAGGAGAGCCCAGGGTTCTGCCTCTGCCTGTTCCACCTTGTGTCAGCCTGCTCTGCGGCCTGGCCCACGTCCCCCCGCCCCCGTGCCCTCAGGTCATTAACAAAGCTCCCCAGACCCTGGCAAAGCCCCTACAGCAGAATGGTCCCAAGAGAGAAGCAGTGGATTTAATAAGCTTCCCCTTAAATGGCCTCAAATCCCTTCCAGTTGATGACGGGGGAAAACAGCCACACTCAGGACCATCTCCTGGTGCAGGAGGTGAGCGAGGGAAAGAATAAAGAAAGTTCCCGAGATCCCGGGCCTCGGGGACCAAATTAAGAAAGCAGCACCGCTTATTCAAAATCAGATGAATGTCAGCAGAATGTTTGTCAAACAAACTTGTCATTATTTGTCACAATTTGAGGAAGCCTCAGTCAGTCGTCACACTTGAGCATGTAACCGGGTTATTTATAGCTGCCAGCCGTGGGGTGTTAACTCATGCGGGGCCACGGTTCGGTGTTATAAACAGCTTTATTTATAATGACTGTGTGGCTATAAATAGTTGGGTTTGCTGGGTGTCACAGAGCAGCTCTGGGATGTGCTGCCAAAGCCCCAGCCAAGGGGGGGCGTACTGGCTCGGAGCTGGATCCTGGCCGTGTCTCCTCCTGTCTGTGGACCATCACTGAGTGTCCTTGGCCAAGGCACGTTCTCTTCCTCACTGTCCCCTTTGGAACAGAGGGAGACGTGCACCACCGTGTGTTCCCCGGAGATGGTAGAAGTTACTCACTTAATTAACATCTGCCCCAAGATCTCTGGCTGAAAGGGAACGGGTTCGTGGAACTCCGCCTCCTTTGTGCCTATTCATGGACAATGAGCTAATTACGGTCTCCTTCTCCTGCTCCAGGGTGGAGGGAGATATCCTGTTATTCCAGGGAACAGGCAGCTCTCCAAAGGTTTGTTTATAGCTTCAGATTTAATTTGAACGACAGCGTCGTCTAGTCTAAAAATAAGAGGTTGTCAGAAATTTAGAAATTTACTAGTTCCTCGTGTCAGCAGAACCTTGTCTAAGAAGCATGGGGTGGGGGTGAGGGGGAAAAGGGGAATATGTATACATAAATTTTACATGTAAAATACATAGGTGTGTCAGCTTAAAAACCCATCATTATGCCATCTGGCACAAGGGTAGTATTGTCACCATCCGCTGAACACCCTCCACCTCTGCCCTCCGGAATGTTCATCTATTGGTCATATGGAAATTTCCTGTTTTCTACTTATTCCTACCCCATCCTTAAATGTTTTCCATTCAATTTTAACTCTGTTAGGCTCAATTTTATTTTATATATATATATATATTTTTTTTTTAAAAAAAGAAAAGGTGTGTCCGTGAAAAAAAGATTTATTGGATCTTAATTTGCAAGATTAGTTCTGGTTCATTTTATTGCTGTAATTTAATACTCATAATGATTTTCTGACACATATGTCTTAGCAGCAAGATCTACTTCCTATTCATTTTTCATTTCAATACAGCTTAAGTACATTAGGCAGGATAGTACCAATCAGAGAGGACAGGGCCCTGCAAGAAACTGACTTCATGCTGCCATCTTGGCTCCGTGCCTGCGCTGAGGCACGTCCAAGCATCTGGGACTAGAGGAGACGAGTAAGAAATCCTTCTTCCAAAGGGACAGTGTTTTCTTTCTCATTTCTGTCTTCACCAACAGCATCGCCGTCACCACTGCGATGCTTTCTCTAAGGGTGCTGTGGGTGGAGTCCTCATTGATCACGTTCCGCTTGTGCAGAAGCGAAGAGAACCTGCTCGGGTGGCCCAGCGGTTCCATTAGAGCTGATGGAGTCATGAGCGCCAAGGGCCCAATGTTTTGGGGCCCTGAGAGGAAGCTTTGCATCCTGATGCAGGTGCATGGAAAGTATCCTGGAGAAGGTGGCCCTCCAGGTGAATCCCACAGGTGGTGTCTTAGGGCAGTGATAACGTCTGTTTCTGCACAGACGCCGCCTGCCGTAGCAGCCAGGTGGTAGCTACATGTAGAGCGGGTAAAGGCAGGCTTTACTTCCTTTAGGATTGTGACCGCCCTTCTGAGAATGCTGATGTTGTTCATTTGCAAAACATAAGGAAATGCATAAAAGATTTTAAATGGTTAAAAATAAGTATCAAAATGACACACTGGAGCTTCCCATGACAAGGATGAGCGCTCCCTTGGGTGATGGCCAGGATGCCCAAGGCCAGGGGGTGGGCAGTGGAACGGACCACGGTGCGTGTGAAGTAGATTGAACTTCAGCGGTTCCTATTTACTTTTTTTTTTTAAAGAAATTTTTGTTCTAATTAGTTATACATGACGGTAATTTGTTCTAATGAGTTATACATGACAGTAAAATGCATTTTGACACATCACACATAGATGGAGTATAATTTCTCATTTTTCTGGCTGTACATGTTGTGGAATCACACTGGTCGTGTATTCCTGTACGTGCGTAGGGTAATAATGTCCGATTCATTCTACTCTCCTTCCTACCCCCTACCTCTCCCCTCCCTTCACTCCCCTCTGCCTAATCCAAAGTAACTTTACTCTTCCCTAGCCCCCGACTCCCATTGTGGATTAGCATGTGCATATCAGAGAAAACCTTCAGCCTATAGTTTTGGGGGATTGGTTTATTTTGCTTAGCATGATAAGCTCTAGCTCCATCCACTTACCTGCAAATGCCATAATTTCATTCTTCTTTAAGGCTGAGTCACATGCCATTGTGTATATATACCACATTTTCTCTTGAAGGTACCGTTACCCACACACGAGGCTGAAACCTCACCTGGGTTCTGTGCTCTCTCGAAGGAGGCAGCCTTAACCCTGGAGGAAGAAAACAAGAATGTGGATACACGATGTTCTACCAATTCTCTCCCTCATTCTCTTTCCTTTCTTTGCAATGATTTTTGAGGGAGATTATATGTGTTTTCATGATTATTTTCACCATTGAAAAAAGAGAGAGTCTCCATGCTTATTTTAAAATAGAAAGGATAAATATATATTTTTTCCTATTGCTTATTGGGTGAAGTGGGGATTTTTAACATTCTTGTGATCAAGCAAGTAATTTCAAAGAAAATTCTTGGAATTGGAAATGTGTTTGGCCAGTCAATAATAGCTCCCATCTCAGTGATATTACGGCGATAACTATATATCCTGCACCTAATGTTCCCATTCAAAGAAAAAGAATCAGCAAAACAAATTTTTGCAACACAATATGTAAATCTGAGAGCCAGCTTACATTTTATATTTTTGTTTATTTCTAAGAATTTTCCCCAGTGCTGAGTTCCAGCTGAGGAGGATGTGATATAAATGTATTAAGTAGTTCAGGGTCTCTGTCCACCAGTTCCTAGAACTGTAGATGTTTAGAGCTTCAAAAAACCATTAGGACTTTCTACTCCATTTCTCTTCTTTTATAGAGGAAAGAAACTGAGCCTGAGGGTCCAAGTCACTTCCTCAAAATCATTTGACTTCTAAGAGACAATATTGGGAAAGAACTGATGTTTCTTGCCTCACAGAAAAAAAATAATTAATATTTGTTGAAAATGGGCAGACGTGTCCTTATTTAGTCACAGCACAGCAGTTCAGGATGATAAGAGTTCTGGAATCAGACAAGCCCAGGCTAAATTCTGGCTCTGAAACTCTCTGTGAGATGGTGGTGTGTTGCTTCTTTTCTTCATTTGTCTTAATTTTAAAAGATTCTTCTTTTGCAGGGGCTCACTGGGATGCAAACCCTGCTTCTCTTCTTTTATCCTCAGCAACACAATGGCACGGTAACAGAGGTGCAGGAGGTGGGGTGACGCAGTGCAGGCCTGGTGTCTCGTGAGGGCTCCTGGTCCATGGACCATCTTCAGCACAGAAACAGCCAGGAGAACAGAACCAGAAAAACCAACCCACCAACCACAAGAGTTTCTTACCTCCAAACTAGGTTCCTCTGGCCCTGGCGGGATCTGTCCCGGTGACGTCACTGGCGAAGCTTCTGTGCCTCCCTTCATGCACGCTTATTATCCTGGGCCCTGGAAGCACACCCCTGAGAAACAGGGGCTTTGGGCACACAGACAGAAGTGACAGCTTGGAGGGGAGGAATCGGGGGACAGTGAGGGTCACCAGGAGCAACGGGACTCTGGGATGCTTAGAGGGTCTGGGCGCTGGAGCCCGGTATGGATCCCACCTGCCCCTGCTGTACCTGCAGCTTTGCTCTGGGCTTAGCTTCGCCTGGAAGCAGAAACTCCAGGTCGGAGGGAGCTGGAGCAGACGGATAGCCACAGGTGCTGTGGGAGGTGGTGGAGGCTTCAGAGGCAGGGCCTGGTGACCTGAGCAGAGGTGGCTGGGACCCAAGCCCTGAGGTCGGGACCCGGGCAGGAAGGGGCTCTGAGGAACGGAATCTCATTAAGGAATTACCCGTAGAAGACGACATCAGGCCAGTGGGGGCTTAGCCCATTAGAATTTGGAGCAGTTGTCTAATCACACAATCCCAGGGATTTTACTCCTGTCCTGGGAAATACTATTTGCACATAAAATCATCCCATTTAATCCCTCAACCGCCCTGGGAAGTTTTTATGGTATTTTGCAGATCAGAAAAAAATGGAGGCCCAGAGAGATTTAAATCACAGGCTCACAGCCCCAGATATCAAAATGCAGCACTGGTTTCAGATGTCTGTCGACCAAGCTGGATTTTCCAGGGATGCATTCCTCGGTCCTTCCCCTGTGGCTCGTGGACGGAGAGGTGGCTGTGACTTCCTGTGCCTGAGAGAACTGGGGCTGGCCAAGTGAGCCCAATCCGGAGCCAGGCAGCATGTACTCCAGTCCTGCCCGAGGCCTCGAGACCCTGGGCTGAGCAGAGAACTGCTTTCTGCCTCAGTTTCCCATTCTGTAAAGTAGAGTGTTCTCAGCCCATTTGGAGTTGCTACAATAGAATGCCAGAGATCGAGTCATGTATATTAAAAAAAAAATGATTTCTCACAGTTCTGGAGCATAGCTCTGGCATCTGGTGAGGCCTTCTCCCTGTGCCATGGCATGGCACAAGGCCTCTTGTGATGCTGTGTTTTGGAAATAACTTCAAAAGGCCCATGTGTCCAGGCTTGGTGTCCGGCCTGGGGTGCTATGGGAGGTGTGGAACCTTTAGGAGGCAGGACCTCATGGGAGGAGCTTAGGTCCCTGGGGGTGTGCCCTTGGCAGGGGGGGGGGAGGGGGGATAAGGGATCCCATCTCTTCCAGTTTCTCTTTTCTCTTCCAGGCCTTAATCAGGTAAACAGGCCTCCTCTGCCACATGCTCCCACCATGATGTACTGTGCCACCACAGGCCCACAGCAATGTCACCATGCAACCATGAACCGAAACCTCCAAAACTGGGAGCCAAATAAGTCTTTTCTCCTTACAAGTTGATTATCTCAGGCATCTTGTCACAGTGTTGGAAAGCTGACCAACACCCATGGCAAGAGGGAGTGAGTGGGCTGACCCAGGTCTCACCCCCTCTTCTTAGGAATCCGGTAATCCTGTCCCTGGGACTCTGCACTCATGACCCTACCTGGCCCCGATGACCTCCCCATGGCCCCTCTCCCAAGACCACTGACATACGATTTGGAGATTCAAACCAGAACAAGTACATTAGAGTTCTCCGGAGCCACAGAACCAACAGGAGTTTATTTTAAAGAGTTGGCTCAGGTGAAGGCGGAGGCTGGGAGGCCTGAGACAGTAGGGCAGTCTGGCAGGTTGGAGGCCGGGGAAGGGCAGCAGGAGCCTGAGGGCTGTGTGCAGCAGACTCCCGGCAGGGGTGTGGGGGAACCGGGCGCCTCAGTGTTCCCCTTTAAGGCTCTCTGCTCTCAGAAGGGGGCCCTCTCACATTAGGCTGGGGAAACTGCTGTGCTCCGATTGAAATGTTCATCTCATCTGAAAATTAACCTCCGTGCAACGTGTTGACCAAATTCCTGGGTGTGGTGGGCTCGTCGAGTTGACCCATCAGTGGACCATGGCGCGGGGCCCCTAAGATCCGCCTCCTGAGACCGATGGGACTGGGTGGGGGAAAAGGTAAGTTCTCGCCAACAATCCCCCATCACTCCTCCCCCAATGGGCACCTCACTCGTGCTGGCTCCGAAGACTCAGATGTGCCAGGGGCCCCTGGACAGTCGGCAGGTTTGGCTTCCCTTCCATTTCCTTCTCCCCTGTGGCTGCAGGAGACTCCTCCTCCAGACTGAGCTCTGGACCCCAGTCATTAGGATGCTGGGTGGTGTCCTCGCTGGATGCCCTCGGGAAGCCCCAGAGGAGAGAGCTGCGGGGACAGAGTCCACCCCAGGGTCTCTGCTGCTGCCTAGACTCGTGGCAGGAAGCGAGCACCCTGCTCTTTAATTCTCCTTGGCAGGGCTGTGCTGCCTGGTGCTGCTGCCAGCTCAGCAGCCAGCCCCGGGGACCGCACCTCCCAGCTCCCAGCCCCAGGTGGATGTCCCTGGGTGAAAGCCTTTCCTGGAAGAGGGAACACAGGCAGCCCTCGCCGCCTGCCTCCTTTCAGCTCCAAATGGGGCTCTATCTCCTTTGCCCAGCTGCACCTCGGGTGGCCCTTCCCTACCTGACAGAGGGAGATACCTTTGACAGCCGGGCGCTCGGCGGGCGAGCGCAGAGCACCCGCATTCCGTTTGGCGACAGGGAAATTCTCATTTGGCTTTGGTTTATTGGGGGGATTAAAGACTGGGATGAATGCAAAAGATCCAGGAGGACAATGGGAAGGAAGGCTGGGGAGGAAGAGGCCGGAGGGAGGCGCGATGGGGGGGCAGACCCGTGGAAGAGTGGACTAAGCCTTCCTCCGATCCATGTCTGAACCCTGACGGGAAAGGTCATGAATTTTAAAAAAGTGTCTCTCCAGCCGACAGCCGCAGTCAAAACCAGCCCTCGTGGAAGCTCCTGTGCCACAGGAGGCTGAGCCAGGGAGTGCCGAGGCCGGGAGGCAGTGAGCACTGCCGGCCCATGTCAGCAAGTGGCATGAGCTAAGGTGGGACAGGCTGCCCGGGCAGCTGCTGACTGCAGCTGGACGCCACCGAGGCTGCGTGCTGGCCCCTGTCATCTCGAGGAGGTTTCCACCTCCCATGTCCGCCATTTTCCGAGTAGGTCACTGGGCACTGATGGCTGCTCACCTGCTGCAGATCCCTGTGCCCACGCCGACTGTGGGGGGGGTGGGGGGGGCGCAGCAGGCCCCCAGCAAGGGTGCCTTTCCCACCTGGCTTCAGTGATGGCCCAGTGCAGGGACAGGCAGGCAGGGACCTGCGTTGACAGCTGCTCCCAAAGGGGAAGGTGAGGAGGCTCAGAGTCTGCCGGTGGCCACTTTGTCGCTGTCTGGGTCACTGAGTGGCTGCTGAGTTTTCTGGGATGAAGGAAACCTTGGTGACCGTGGTCCTGGGGGCCCTGGGAGGATTGTCAGTGTGTTTTGCTCTACGAGAAGAGCATGCTCTTGACAAATGGAGTGTGGGTGTTTTATTTAGAAATCATGTATATGTGTAATATCAGATCTTAAACAGATATGCTCATTTTTAAGGACCCGGAAGACTTGCACCCATGTGACTTATCTGTACTTTGAGAGGAATATCAGAATATTGAGTTTTCTCAAATCAGGGATGTGGGTAATGAAAACCAGTGGGTATTTCGGGAGCCGGAAAGGAGATGAGAACGGGACCTGGCCAGCCTCTCGGCCCCGCTCCTTGGATGATAGGTGAGCCGGGAAGGCAGCGGCAGTGGCCCTGGGAAGAGGAGCACAGCCAAGCCTGCAGGAGAGGGCTTCAGAGAACTGCCCCTGGTAGTGTCCCTTGTATGGTGTCCTTCCACCTTCCCAGAGGTCGGAGGTCCTTCGAGGGGCCTCACCATGACCACCCTGGAGTCCCAGTCTCTGTTATGGGGAGACTCCTTTTGGAGGCTGTGCTGGATTAACCAGCCCCTCCCTCATTTGAGAAAAAGACTGTTGTATGTAAAAGACACAATGATTTGCCATTAGAGCTAGGAAAGTGCGCATTTCAGAACACAGAGCACCTTCACAATGTGGGGCAACCACCCCCCAGCATCTATCTCTTGGGTGTTCCGAACAGGGACCCTGCGCCCGCTAAACGCTGGTGTTCCCCTGCCTGCTGTCCTGCCCCTGTGGGCACCATCCTCCTTTTCGTCCCTGCGAATCTGTTGCTCTAGGTACTGCTCAGCGTGGTCCCTCTAGGTTTCTTCTACTTGGTCCAACGCCTTCGGGTTCATCCAGGGTGTAGCGTGTATGTGTGTTTCATTTGTTTGCTGTTATGGTAAAAAAATTCAAAAACGCTATTATTAAAATCACTTTAAGTGGAATCAAACACATTCACCATGTGGTGTGACCGTCACTGCTAAAGGTTTTCCATTCCCTCCCTGAAACTCGATAGTCATGTGTGCAAAAGCTCCTCTGCCCTTCTCCCTCCAGCCCCTGGGAACCTCACTCCATTCTCTACCTGTGAATTTGCCGACTCTGGTCCTCTTGGGGCAGTGGAATCACACATTATCTTCCTCATGTGGGACCAGGGTAGGTTAGAACAGATACTGGAAAGTCTCCTCGGACGGACGGCAGGCCAGCACACGGTGGCACAGAAGGCTGCGGGTCTCTGTTGGCAATGGGTTCCTCAGGGAGGTGGTGGCTGGTATGAGAAGACCAGCCGGGAGCAGGACAGGCTGGACAGGCCCCAGGGCCCCAAAGGGCAGGTGCTCTGTTGGGGAAGACCTGGCAGGGTGTCCAACTGCCAAGAAGGCTGCAGCAGCAGAGGGATGCCCTGGAAGACTTGTTTCGATTCCATCCTCAGTGGGCATCCTTCGAAAAATCGGACATTGCACAGAACCTGCCTGTAGAAGGGGAAACCCAGGATGGGGAGACTGGTTCTGGCAACAGGCAGGAGAGGTCCTGTGGCTGCTCCATTGTAATATGTGAAACCTGGAGCAAGTTGCATGTTCTAGTTCTCCTCCTAGAAAAAGGGGCATAAGAGGAGTAGCCATCTCGTAGGCAAAGGAAAATAATAAGGAAATAATTCAAATAATTATTTGTATTATTAAGAAGTAAGGAAAATAATTCAAAACGCAGAAAACTATTCTGCCCCATACCGGACCTGTGGTGCGCATTCAGCAGTGACAGGAGTTCTCATAATCATTCATTTTGATGTTACATATCAGTCCCTTATAGGTTTTGCTAACATACATTTCAGAATCGAGTCCAAACAGTTTTAAGACATTGACCTTGGGTGTCCGCATGCCCTAGGGATAGGTCTTT